CAATATTTTAATATTTCATAGTATAATATTATAAATCCTAATAAAGTATAGGCAAGACTGCCGAAAAAAAAAAAAAATAAATAAATAAATTCGATGTTATGTTTGTATTTACCAAGAGCTAGGCAAAGGAACTTTTAATTTTTTAAGAGCAATTATTAATCCAACTTTTAACTTTGATCTGTGCACTGTTCCGAATTCACCATCACCGATTTTTTCAAAGATAGAGAAACTATTATAGTTGTAAGATTTAATATGTCCCTGGTAAATTGCATTTTCAAGCTATTTTGAATAATTCATATTCTAATAATTCTTTCATATGTCAAACAAATATTTATTTATTAGGTGAGTTGAGTGAAAGTTTTTTCTAAAATATGAAAGCTATAAGAGGTACATTTTAAATGTATATTGTGCATGTACAGTATATACATAACTGAAATACTTTGTTTCAATACGTAGTACTACATAAACCTACATCGTCAGCATCAACATACTCCAAATGTTTCAAAAATACGTATCCTTAACGTTAATAATCTTTTCACTCAATGTTTAAAAAACAATTAGAATTTTGATAGGGGTTTTGTTTTTCTCTAACTTTTATCTAACAAATTCAATAAAAATTGATTAATTAAATTTTGTGGATACATTCAGAATTTCATTTTTTATTAGATGATTGGCACTAGCAAAAATATGTGCATTGACAAAATATCATTATATTGAAATTGTTAAAATAACCGCCTATGTATATGATAATAAAAGCTTTCGATCAAAAATAAATCATTATAATTAAAATGTTAATATAACAGCCTATTTTTCATTTACAATTTTACACCTATATATAATGATTTGTAATTTATCTCCAAATATTAATTTAATAAAATTTAGGTTATTCTTTAATTAAAAAATATAAATTATATTAGTGCTTATGGACATGTCTGGCCAAACATGATTGTAATTATAACCTCAACCTTAATATCAAAGATTTGCTAAACTTGGGAGCTTCATGATTAGCTTCAACATTATTTAGAAAACTTTTAAGAAACTGATTATAATTTGCATCACTCATTAAATATCTTGCAGTGAGACCTGATTCTACAAGAATAGATACAGACAATATGTTATATTGAGTAATTCTATAAGCCTCTATGTTCCTACCTAATATCTTTGCTCATGCTTTTTGCCAATTCTTAAAATTGATTTGACTTTTTCCTTCTATTCTGTTCTAATATCTCTATTAACCTATTTCTAACTAATTGATTTTCCACAACTTTTTGTATCAATCGAACCTCCCATGCTACACAATCTACCAATACTAAGTTCTCTTTTACCTTTTGTAACTCCTTCGGAGCTATCAAAAGGCTCTTTGTTCTATTCTCTAATACTGATTCCAGGTTATCTATATTAAAGATTAATTGTGGACCATTTTCTGTCTTTTGTACTAAGTTCGAAATATCTCTCAATTCTTTTCGCTTTATTGATAACGTCTCCTGACTGCTGTTATGCACTAGGGTTTTAAGACCGGTTTCTGTATATGGATTTGTTTTCTCCTTATAATTTTCTACTTCTGCGAATTTGCCCACTTTTTCTCTTATTTTTCCAATGTTAACAGATGAATTCTCTTTGTCTTTCCACATAACCCATTCTTTTGTTCTTTTATCTTCCTTAACTTTTCTTGTTACTATTTTGGGAGTACTTGGGTTCATTTTCGCAAGCTTGTACATTGGCTTTACTTCTCGTGTTACTATATCTGCAATTAGTTCATTCTCTAGCTCAGCAAACCATTTTGTCTTTTTGCCTCTCAGATTGCAACTA